TATATATCATGTCAATCAATTCTAGGACGAAAAATAGGAACATAACACATTAACTATTTACCTGAAGAAGGATACATCCATACTGTCGTGAACAACCCAGTGTTTTGTAAGTAAATCTTCGGACTGTTAGTAAAGTGCCAGTTCCAAAGTTAACAATTTCAGCTTCATATCTTTAACGTGTTCATTGTCTTGATAAAATAGCAGTTTATTAATCCTTTTCAACCTACAACTTTAGGAAATAATGTAACAATTCTAAACTTGTCTAACTCAATATAATGGATATCTACCCAATTCACCAATAACCAGAATTAGCAGTAGACATTTTGAACATTGAAGTAGTCCATTTCAATCGAATTTCTATGTATTGGTTCACTATCCGTTTCTTTCCAAAACCCCCATACTTCACAAGAATTATTCAATATAGATCAACATAAGATCGAATAAATTAACATAAATATTTACGGAATTAATCATTTGGTAAATAACTAAATAATGATGCCTCATAGCTAAGAGCTTATCAGGCTAATGTTTGTTGCTGTCTTAAAGACACCAATAGATACACAATACCTAATAATTAAACTTGAAACAAATCTCCAATTCTTCCCGTCGTAAATGTTCATTCATTGGTCATTCCACCTTTTTAAAAAGTACAAAGAACCTTCGTTTTATTTACATTAACTTTTAATTGCCATTTATTAAACAATATCTTTAAATTATGTAAGTGAAGTTAAGCCATCCCCGTCCTGCAAGAAAATGACTGCATCGTCGGCAAAAAGTATAGTATATAGAAAGTTGCTCTATATGTCAAACAAACTATCATCGTTTTGTAAAACAACTTCAATCATCATTTACGGAATAATGAAGAAAGTATCGGAAGAAATATATCTCCCTTGCAATAACCAACACACATTTGACATAAAAATTCAACAAGGAATCCATATCGACGTACAACAATTATTTAAACATCTTTCATACAGAAGACCTGGATGTACAGCAAAAAACGATCCATTTACACCATATTTTAATCAAATTTACCCATAAGGCATTTCTGTAAATAGAATCAAAGCATTTCATCAAGAATCAACAACAGCAATATAATTCCTTTTTTTTGTTTAATGTGTCGTTCTATAAAAACATTCAAGGAGAAATATAGACGTCTACTGTGCTATACGTTACATTTAAAACCAAATTTTGGTGCATCAGTGAGTATATCATTAATATCCAGCCCACTTTTTTAATCGCTCATTAATAACACAGCTAAAGTAATTGTTGCAAAACAGCTGATTAATGTTCATACCTCTATAATTAGTAATGGTTCACTAGAATCACCTTTTTTAAAACAGGTAAACAACTCCCTGTGACCATGATTTGGGGAAAACAAACCGCGTATCTAAAAATATGATTGAACAATATTTATAAGGTTGTCTAAATATATCTGTATACCTTCTTTAAAATACTCGTACATAGGTGTGGTCAAAAGCAGGCTAGCTTTATTTGTTCCTAGTTTTTTGATAGCTTTTCTTATTTCCATCAGTCGTAAAAGGTACAATCAGCTCCTCAATAATGTAGATGTTAAAATTTGCATTTTCATCAAAAATATTTAAAAAATTTCGAATTTTCGTCATCTTTCCGCCGCAACAGAAAATTCAGATGCTAAGTCTTAATAATGATTATAAAAAATCAATCCAAAATCTATGTTTTCATCACGACCACGGGGTTGGATTTACCTTTGACGAAACAGTCCCCATCCAAAATTCTTTTGGCTTTTTCGTTTCTCAATTCATTCATTTTCTGCAAGCTTGTTTTTGCTGTCAAAGTTCCAGTTTTACTTTGTCTACAATGATTATTTATAATTCCTTCTTTTTTAAATATAATAATTCTCCTTATTTTTCTACACGATTTGTTAGCGATTAAATTCTGAATAATAAGCATTTTTTTCAATATATCAGTATACTTTTGTTTACAAGGCTTTCAATCGAACCTATTTAATTCGTTTTATTATCGTTGAACATCGTTTAAACAGTTGCCTTACCAACAAGTTTCAAAAATACGCATTACCTCTTTCAGATAAATATGTTCTGTAAAAAATATTAACCATTTCATCTTGGATTCTGGTTATTTTGCTTCGGATTCTCCTTTAAGTTTTGGCAAAGAGCATTTCTAGTGTCTCGCGAAATATGCGTTACCAAATTCCGTCCTATATTCTGGATTCCATTTATAAATCGTGCGTTTACGCGGATTCGTTACGTACTGGCACGGTCCTTACTTTCACCGAGAAAGAAATCGGGGCGTGATTTGAGTGGGCGGTCAAATCAATGAACACGAAACTTCTGAAATATTTTCAAAATTGCATGCTTTTGTGTAACAAATAATCCACTACACTATTTCCGTTATACGTAAACAGAGCTAGGTTTCCCGAGATTCGCGTCGCTATCCAACCGTCCGTTTACATATGCGTCATATAAGGTAGATTTACAAAGATTCAAGTAATGCTCCCCAAGACAGGTTTGTGACCACGCTCAGTCCGTCTTCCGCGGAATAAAGTATCCATACCGCAAATAATCATGATCATTAATTAACATATATATAATTTAATCAGTAAGGATTTTGAATCAATCCGATTTTGTATGTCTCCGCACGACATAATCCATTCCTGTTATTTCGGGTACAATTTATATCATTCTCTAATTTTCTAAATATTATCATGATCAGTCTAGATATGAACAGGAACTTCTGGGGCAAATATATATGTAAATTAGATATATATCTTCTGGTACTGGAAAATATTTATCCAGTTCAACCACAAATACAATAAATGTCATTTCTGATAAGTTAAAACACTTTTATGATCGACTTTTCACCATACGCTAAAAGTGCCCCCACTGCTTCCGTCTGGCTCGTTTATTCTGAATTTTCTATAAGAGTGAAAAAGTTTATACCCATTTAGTTCTTCTATTTTTGAGGCTTTATTAGTCCAGGTTTTCACTTTAAAAATATGGATGTCATAATTACAATAAAGTTTTGTAAAGTCAGTGTTATTTTTCTTTAATTGAGAAAGTCCCTTCAATATTCCCCACGCTACACAACCGTATCTCTGCTCTGTGACGATCCTAGCCGTGAACCGGAATTCGCCCCTTCCCTGTACAAATGTCCGTCAATGTACAGCTTGTCTGCTGCCGAGATACGCTTCCTTCCCGGCCTTCCGTGCGATCGAGCATGACCCGGAACTAGTTTTTCGTCGGCGTTCCATGACTTTCTACCGGAAATTGCTGACTGATGCCAAAGGCCTACCTTAATTTTCTAGCGTCCCAATCGCAGACTTTTCTCTATCAGGGAAATAGTGCAACTTGCTACAATAGGGGCCTAGCGCCGTCGGCTTATACTTTCCTATTCTGTGTGCACGGTGGAGTTTGAGTCTGTAGTTGCATTTTCATGACCTAACTTTTCCTCGATAAATATCAAAACCTTCTGCACACAATCAGAGTCTTTCTCACCTTTCTCTTCTTCATATGCCAAAAAAGAGCAAATTATCGCGCATGCCTCCTCCCTTCAGGTCAATAATTTCTGCCTTCATATCCTGCTCCCTTTTAACACTGTTCATTTTTCTAACTTTTGAATTTTGACCATTAAAGAATCGAGAATCTTTTTTGTTTTTTACTTATATCACTAATGCAGCTCGCATCATGGTTACGGCTTATCTCAATGTCCGACATTTTTGTCTCTAGACCGTTAACTTTTTTGATCCAGACAGTTTAGACGAACATTAATACCGTTTAACGGTAGATTGTATAGAGTCTAATTGTGCAAGTTTTAATTCTATACGGTCAAGACGTTGGATAAGCAAAGAAAATTGATCACTGCTCACACTTGTTCCGAGGAGGTCGGTGTTTGTGGCTGTGGAATGTACTGCGTCCCAGTTTGTGACCCCAAATTAACAGGTGAATACTGAAACATAGGTTGCCCTGTTTGTTGGTTTTTGATTAACAAGTTTTGGTACTTGCCTTTTGTAATCCACTATACCCATTATATCCATTATATTTGACTGATATTGTCCGTTTTGTTGCAATAATCTGCTGGCTTTGTGCGATTGGGGGAACATTATGCGCCATAAGCATAACCTTTTGTCTTTGTTATTGTTCTGTGGTGAACTTTTACTTTTCTTCCTCTTTCTTCCCATTTAGCTTTAAAAGTCAAACCTCATATCACTCATATACTTTAAGCATATATAAAACCTCTTAATCCGCATATTTTCACACAGTTTATGTAAATTTATCACTTATATATCCTCAATTTTTCGAATTTTTCTTTGTTACAAAATTTTGAACGTCCATTACTATTGCGCATGCGTATCATGTCGATATGCTACAAGTTCAATATATTTTTTTCAAAGTTATGATAAATTTAATTTTGAAAAAGAGAATAATACTTATAATCGAATAATTTGAGTAGAATTGGAGAAACATGTTTGAATTTTACATAGTATTAATACGAAGATTCTTTTTTAAAAACAAATACATGTATATTCATTTTCTAAAAGATATACATGTACAATGCTTATCTTTGGGTAAAATACTTTAAGGATAATTGTAGAAATCAATTAAATCTAGTAAATTTTTCCTGAATATGTCTTATTTGAATAAATGAATATATTAACTATGTTTTGGGAAGCTGAATTCCTTATTACTCGTCAAATTAAGTTGGTCTATTATAAAAACTGACAGTATTTTTAACGACACTTTGAAATCATACTGTGATTACCTGTAGAGTTTCAAACGTAACATAATTATTTTCTATGTGTGTATTCAAAAGATGTTTATTTTACACTTAAAAAGAAACAGTACATTAATTATCAGTTGTTTTTAAAATATTAAATATAAGCATAAGAAAGCCTTCTAAAATATTTGAATCTTACAAGAGACTATGTTGTTTTTGTTTTTTTTTTTGTTTGTTTTTTTGTTTTTTTCATATGAGAAATTTATCAAGGAAGCTTACGAAAGGTAATTGTTTTTCTTAGATGCCCGCTCGACATGTATGTCCCCTTCAGAATCCTTGTGCTACAGCAGTAAAGCTTGAACAGTCTGCGTGTCATTTTAACATTTATAAGGTTTATTTACTTGAAGGAACTGAGTAGATCTATATTTGTATTTTTGAACCAAATGTAATAATTCTGGAATATTAACCTATGTGCAAATTTTCCAATCATTCGCTCAGTCCGTTTTTTCCTGAATAATGATTCTAAATTGTCAAAAAATTGCCCAAATTAAGTTTTTAAACGCTTTTAAATTGATTCGGGCTAAGAATCACAAAAATGATTCAATATCTGAGAATATTTCTGATTTTCTCTTCTGTGCTCTTTTTATTTTTTTTTTCACCTAAAGTGCTTCAGTTGATCTACGCAAGTTATCCAAATTTTATGTTCCTGGTCATCTGGACCTTCATGGAGTCCCTTTTAAAGTTCCAACCAAGCCCTCATTAAAGACAATGATGTCGGAAACCGAAGATTCGCCGATAATTATATCATTATAGCATAAAAGATCACAGTGGTAAACGATATTTTATGAAGAAGCTGGATACTGTAAACCCGGTAATTTTCGTGAGGTTTTAATTTTCGGTATTATTCGCGATTCTGTTGCGTCGCGAACTTATGACACCGCGTACATTTTAAAACTACGTACATTATGCGAAATATATCCAACATCAAAAATGTCTGAATTTCGATCAAGTGTGTAAAGCCATTCTGATATTTTTTTAACTTTTCCTCAGTTACTGCGCATGTTATGCACATTCTAGTTAAATGAAACATAGAAAAAGGAAGGTCGGCTTTTTAGAAGTACCAGCTTTCTTGTATCCCTTAATTCGCTTTTTTAGTCCTCGATAGTACATTGTCAGTTTTTCCGAACAATTGTTTGCCGTTTACTGTTCCATGATTTTTACAACACGATTGGTATTTGCTACGAAGCGAATCGGCATGATACTGAAGTTCCGATAGGTGGCAGTATATCATGTATGGGCGTGGCTTCGACATTACTCTCTTGCAAAGGAGATAAACATTTTCGTTTCATATCAACATCGTCACCATTTTTAGCACCGTTTGTTGCATTCATAGGACATACACCCTTTGTAATAGGCTTTTCAATGGTTGATGTTTGTATAATTCTATTTACATCATTATTATCATTATTGTAAGTTTTCACGAAATCATCTGACTGACCTTCATCGTGACCTTTCTCGACCGGAAGTTGTTGTTTTTCTATAAGATCGCAGCTTGTGTCAAGCTTTTCTTGCAGTACAGTACAAATGTCCGCTTTCTCTGGGATATACCCAGAAGAATTCCTGTCGATTTTTTCTGGAATTCCTGAACTTGCATCGTCTCCTATTTGATTGTCTTTTCTAAAATATTTTTAAAAAAAAACATTAATTGCATTTTAAGAAAAGTTCAGTGAACTTTAAGTTTTACTTCCAAATGTAGAGCTAAATCATTATTTTAGATATTTAAATATGCTTTGAAGGTTGTCTTATCCTGTATTGTACACGGGTAATGATATACATTGCTTTCCAAAAACCACATTTAATTATATGGCTCTAGTTAATAAACAAGTTATGTGAAACTTCCCTAATAAAGGGTGAATAATTACATCAACATAAATTAGGAATTGATTCACGAAATGAATAGATATCTGAATGAAATTGATATATAAGAAATTGACTTAAAAATTCACCAAAATTTCATGAATTGTGATTTCTTAATTATTCTGAATTATAATTAAAATAAACACGGATGATTAATGACCGTAGTGTTGAGTATGTCAGTGCGTTGTCGTCTGCACAATACAGAATGCCGCGTGAGAGCCATGATTAGAAGTCTAAAATTTATTCAATTAGCAAACGTCGGATGAAAGAAATGGATAAATGGTATTCATGAATTAATTACCATATTTGCTAATAATTACACGAATTGGCACTGAGAAAGTTAGTAAACGTTTGTTTTGTACCCCAAGATTAGCCTGGAAAATCTTAAATATTCTTAAGTAAGTCCATATATTTGCTCATTTGGTAAGCTTTATTTCTTCAAAAATTAGAAAAATGTCGCATTGTAATACTCCATCTTTTGGAAGACTTGTTAACAATATTACATATTAAAGTTTGAACACACTTGAAAATATGAGCAACAGGTTTAACTTGTTGTGCACCGTACAGGTATAACGGGAACACACTTGTTCGTACCGGGGGAAAACTTTAAAAAAAACACACATTTGCCAAGTGCAGGCTAAGACTATGCTGCACTTGTATGCTGCTATTGTCTCAACATGGTCTGCACTGTTCGCTATTCAGTCGGTACTTATTTCAAGTCCCCCCCCCCCCCCTAAAATGGTGAATGGTGTTATCCGTGGTTATAATTATGGAGTATTGTAAATGACTTACTTCTTAAGAATTTTCATGGCAATAAATGCACCAACAACAAGAAATGTTATCCCAGCAATACTTCCTACAACAGCCCCGGCTATCACACCATCTGAAATACAAACAACATATCTTTATCATTTACGACTTACCTCCCTTTTTGTTTGGCTTTTACAAACACCCAGAAAAGTTTGGAAAAGGTAAATATAATTTTTCATACAGATGGTTTATGTACAAAGGTTGAAACTCATAAATATAAAATAAAAGTTATAGAAAAGTACATGTAAAAATGTGGTTCTCAAAACAACGCTGAACATTTGTCATACATCCGACCATTGTCTGACTTAAAGGCCTATTAAATCTCAAAAATGCTGATATTTTGACATTGCAAATTTTTTATATTTTTTGGTGTCCAGATTGAGTTTTCCAAAACATTGGACATACAGCTGAACCTTGATTCTTTTGCGTTGTGGAAGTTAGTACAGTTAAAAGTAATTTGGTATTTTGCATGGAAGTCAAATACTACGTTTGTTTTCATTTTGATTATTATATCACAAATCTTTTCAAATTGCGCGCTTTTTTGTCAGATGATAAGCATCACAGATATTCTAAATCAATTATTTCAACATCATATAACACAAGCAGCACTTTCTGCAGAAAGAAAATTTAATTTCTTATGCCAAATGTACCTTTAATTGCACAGTTTCGTAAACGTAAACACAATCTATTGAAATGAAAGTATTGAGTGCATTTAAAGCTTTTCGTAGACTTTTCATATCGTAAATTAACAAACAAATCGTACTATCATTAGAACTGCCGTTACTGTCTGAATGGCCGTCAGTATTTTCGTCTGACGTGGAAGATGACGTCATTGAAGCGGCTGTCGACGTCGACGTTGTTGACTGAGTTGTAATACTAGAGGCACATGTCTCACAGCACGTGTTTATGTCTGTATAGGTCGGACACAGGAAAGAAAAGCAAACGGCTTTATCACCATACAGACAATCTGTAACATATCACCATATACATGATATATACATTATAACCAATGAAAATATATATAGCATATATACATGCATTGTCGATTTTTTTACACTATACTTACTTCAACATATATTGAGGAAGGTTTTGCACAAGAAAGAGTAGTTAAGAACTCATGATTATCTTGTTGAAAATCAGAACATCTTATGGGGGTTTTTAAAAAGTGGATCTTTTACGAGGGGTGTTCAAAAAGTTTTGAGACTAATGTGCTTCCGTAGAAAATTACCTTTCAATTTGCACGAAATTCACGTAATCTTATTGTTAGCCTTTCGATGACACTCTAGTAAAATTTCATTGAAATCAAATCATGCGTTTAAAACTTATTGTGTATTATTTATCATATACTCGTATACACTGGTCATTTGTACATGTAAATATGAAACCTAGTGAAAAATTAGAGATTCGAGGATACATAAAAGTGCGGTGTCGTTTCGAAATTACTGCAGATGAAGATTCTGAATGAAGTGCATAGTCACTTTGGAGTCAATAGTGTATCGAATAGCACTGTGTACAGATGGTTCAAAGCATTCACCAATGGATTTGATAATGTCATAGACAGGAACCGTTCTGGCAGACCTCAGACAGCAATCACTTCCAGAAACATTGCTGCTGTGAAAAATCTAATAGGAGATGATGCTCGGTACACGGTCCGTGAGATAGCTTATTATCTGAACTTATCAACAGGTTCCATTCAGACCATTCTGACGAAGGAATATAATTTAAGAAAAGTTTGTGCGAGATGGGTACCCCATCTCCTGACCGAGGATCAGAAAAAGGAAAGAGTGCGTCTTGCGAAAGAAACATTGAAAAAAAATCTCGATTAAAAGAAAATAAATGAACTGATTACGGGAGACGAAACATGGATCTACTATTTTGAGCCCCAGAGACGCATAAACAACAAGCAATGGCTCCGCAAGGACCAGGCTAGACCCACCATTGCTAAAAGGACAAAGCGCTAAAAAAAGTGATGTGTGCGGTTTTCTTGCAGTTCCAGGAGGGAAAACTGTCACCGGAAAGTTCTACCGGGATAAGATTTTGAAACGCTTCATCTCATAAATGTGATATAGTACTAAGGTTCATCGAGAAAGAAAAAATTGTGCAAGTGAAGCATCCCCCTTATTCTCCCGATCTAAGTCCGTGCGACTTTTTCCTCTTCTCTGAAGTCAAGAAACGGCTTTCTGGACGGCGTTACGCATCACGCAGCGCGCTGGGAAGTGCGCTCTACCAGTGCCTTTTGGGTATCCCCAAGGGGAACTACTCTGACGCTTTCCGGAGGTGGATAGATCGACTTCAGAAGTGTATTCGGGTTCATGGAAACTATTTTGAGGGATCAAAATAGAATGAAATTTGATATATATTGTTGTTTTTATTTCATTGCTACAGTCTCAAAACTTTTTAAACACCCCTCGTACAATTGTTAAGCATGAAAATCTCATTAGCTACATAGAAAAATACAAAAATTACACTTTCGTACAAGTTCAAAAAAATATTTGAGTACCATATAAAAATGAGAATCTAAATGTCACACAATAGACAAAACCGAAATTGTTGCAGCCTGCTTTACTGTTTCTGTTATGCAATGGTTATAAAACAGACTACTCATGGCGGCTATTTCATTGACCCCTTGCACCAACTTTATCAGATTTTACCATTGAAAAGTAATTTGAGCCGCGTCACGACAAAACCAACATAATGGGTTTGCGACCAGCATGGATCCAGACCAGCCTGCGCATCCGCGCAGTCTGATCAGGATCCCTGCTGTTCGCTATCGGTTTCTCTACTTGTTATAGAGTTGATAAACGAACAGCATGGATCCTGATCAGACTGCGCGGATGCACAGGCTGGTCCGGATCCATGCTGGTCACAAACGCACTAAGTTGCTTTTGTCGTGACGCGGCTTATTTCAGTATGTAGGTCTATATTTACTTTGGTTATTTCTTGCGACAGCGTTGCATGACGCACAACATGTAGCCTCTATGCTGGTATCATAGCATTCGGCATTGTCGTCTGCTACAAGTTCCGAACATGTCATACCATCTTTAATAATGCCGGCTGTATCCCCGTTTGGACATGTGACTGAAAATACAAAAAGACAACGCTGTTGAACTGTTAACCAGAAACAAAACAAAACTTAGCATCCATTTGAAATGGAGGGCAATATGATGACGTACTAGTATTACACAAGTAAACATTGCAACTGATATAATTGCATTGTTTTAATGAATTAGTGATGTAAAATAAACGAGATATATATCTGATTTATATTTTGCATATAGATACCTACAATTTACATGTCTTATAAATGATGACATTTTCAAAATACAAACATAATTATGCATATATCCAATCAATTTGTCTGAAGATAAAATCGTATAGCTACATACATGTATTACAAAAGATAGAGCAAAACGTCATATTGACAATAAAGATGTGATATTTAATGACCCGTTTATCTTCAAAAATGCTGTTCGTTTGATTTATTGATTGATTAATTGCCAAACTCATAGGCAATATAGTTAAGCCATCCTTAACTTACTTCGCTTTTTGGAAATTGGTATAGTTAAACTGATTTAATAGTTTGCATGGAAGTCAAAATAACACTTCGTTTTCATTTTGCTTCCTTTGTCACAGACTATTTCACATTTAACGCTTCTTTTTAAGGTGTCAAGCATCTCACATGTTCTTAATTCATTATTACCATAACACAAATCACATGTTCAGCCTTTCCAAAAAATAAAAATAATATACATTTCTGAGACTTAAGGAATGTGCCTTCACCTTTTAAATATATTTGTATTTTCATAGATCTTTTGAAAACCTTATAATTTCCAATTATTTCAAGTCCGTTAAAATTGTCTGTTTCAATTACATGTATTTATTTAGATTTCTACTTTACAAACCTGCACTAAAAGACACATTTGTCATTTTTGCTATAATGGAGAAAGTCAAAAGTAATTCCGCCCAAATCATGTTGTTGACATACACTAAAATTGACAGATTCAAATACCGTACATATATGATATATCTGATATCAAATACTTAAAAAAATATCCGAAAACTTTTATAATGCACACATTAAATAAAATTATAAATCGTAACAAACACTAAAATCTATATGTGTCGAGATCTTTATATCAGCATGTTTCAGCTTCTTTGGTAAAAGAACGCTTAAAAGTCGTATGGCGTAGGACTCGGAATCATTTAGACGCTTGTCTTGCAAGTCGTACGTCATTAGATGACATCCGGTGGAACAAGGAAGTGTGTACATTTGTAATACAATGAAACCTTTAACTGCGATTTATTAATAAGGAAACAAGGAAGGATGTGAGTAAAAATAGACCACGAAACATATGGCCTGTATTAATAATTACCCTTATGTTATCACGTGACTATTAATCGCTGTGCCTGTATAAATTTATTTTTCATTTTCAAAATTTGGGGTAAACAACATCTTTCCGGCAAAAAGCATTTAGGACTTGTATTTGTTGCATTTGTAACATTGTATAATAATGACATGGTCATACTTTTTCACACTTAGCGAGCAGCTTCAAAAAATGGCCATAGGATCATGTTTACAACCAAAATACCAATATTGTTGAAGAAAATTAGTATGTTGTAATGTTGGTGTAGATCAGACTGCATGGATAACATCGTCTCTTAAAATTCACACAGGCAACTCATTATAATATTTATAATACTCAAGGGGTCAATCAGACAAATGAAACATAAATGAAGCATACTTAGTTTCTTCCTAAAGCTTCCATAAGTACTCGTATTAGCTTATCTTTTATAATTAAATGTCAGAATGTTTGAGCATAAAATATTAGCATTGTTCAATTGCCCTGGTGTTAAACTGTCTACATACAGCTTGAAACCATACAATAACAAAAGTCAATCCCTCCACACATGCTAAGAAAAATAAATACATGTACATTCTTAGATTAAAAACGTCATAAAAGTAATGACTTTATTTACACTGTGATACGACCTTCAGTAGTTTGATCAAACAAACGCTTAACAAATATTTTTATAAAAATACATTTTTCAGCAGACGAGTTTATTTACCCGCAATTTTCATCTTTGCCCTTCAATTTATTTATGAATGTATAAAGTTTGTTTAACATGTATATTACGAGTTTAATTAGAACAGAACAGAACTTTTATTTCTTTGATTTGTACATAGTACATCATCATATTATACATCATATATTTTCAGAGTAACAAATACATTTTAGTTTTTATAATGCCTAAAGAATGGTATAACTTATGGTGTTCCGTTTCGTGTTTTCGCCTTTTAGTTTATACAAATTTATTTTAGTTCGATTATGTTGAAGGCTATAAATTTATTGAAACTGTCTCGAATCCTTAAAAATTCCTGGAACCAACCAGTACTAAGCAACGAATGTTAAAGTTCTTGTTCAAGGAAACAACGGCTTGCCCCTGACGGGATTTGAACCCACGCTGCCAGCAATCTTTAGATTACTAGTCCAACGCGTCAACCGCTCAGCCAAATATTAAAACTTCTGCATTCATAGGCGATGGCCCTAACGGGACACCGTAATATATAGTATTTATTTCTGCTAATTACTGGCATGCATAGGATATTGAGTATCAAAATTAACAAGTAGAGATTTTGATGCTAAAGCATCAAGTCGCCGGATAGAAAAATGATTGTATATTATCATAAAGATCATAAGAAAATATCAGTTTAATGGTTCAAGTATAAAGAAAAGAGGAACAATATGTTGAGTAATGTTTGCCATCGAGGCTTGTAAGGCAAATGATATTCAGGTAATTCTACTTGTAATTCTACTTAATACATAAACTGTTGTACCATACATGGAAATCCGTGTTGTTTACTTCAGAATCCAATAATTACCGACAAATTATTACCGATCATCATTGACTATTAAAATATGTATGTTTTTATTATTGCATGAAACAATGCAATTCTACTGTAAAAGTGTTGTCCATCATTATTATGCGCTATCGAAAAACTATTTAATATAGTTGAAATTCCCATCTTTACACACGATATAATTAACGTTTAATTGCCTTTCAGTGCGATAAACTATCAACACAAAGATAGTTTTGTTTTTTTATGTATCTAATACGATTCCGGACCCCTACCGTCATACCGTTTTGGAAACCTGCGCGACAGAAACCGACGGAATATAACGAAATCAACGAATACCATTATATATTTCAATAATGTGCCTCTTAAGCATAAAATTATTTTGTGATGTTCAACCTCAAAAGTTTGACAGCAAGGGCCAAGTCTAACCCTTTGAAAAGGTTTTGAAAATCTATTTTTAATGTGTAAAAATATGAGTATACAGGTTTTTCTAATGATATAAAATATGAAACTGATTAATGAAAAATAACTTTGTAAACAATTATACAAAAATACAATGATTTACACCCTTATCAGCCGCCATACCTTTTGCCAACCATTAACAAGTTACCTGTATGTCTTACATGTATCTGCAATCTGTTACTATTAATAGATCTTATAACGACACCATACAACGTGTAGTCACGTGATTCTTACAAAAGAACAGGGAGAATTTGTTTTTAATTAGATAAAATAATGAAATATAATAGGTCTCATAAAATATAAACAACGAAATAATTTAAAATATCATTCATGATTTATTTATCATAAAATAGCAACGCTTGACACATAGAAAAAAGTAAAAGTATCCCTAGATTCAATGACTGATCCTTAGGGATACATTATTGATTCATTTTATGAAAACTGTAATGTTGCTTTTTAAGATGTCAATATGTGTATATTTCATTTCATTTAGCAAAGTTATCATATGTTTGAATTTTTGAGATTACTGCAAATAATTGTGGTCTTTAATTGTTCAATTATTGATATGCTTTTAGTTTCATATTTTAAGGGCTTCTCCTAACATAGGTATAATATTAAACTGTTACAAATATAGTCGCCGGTTTCTACCGGCGACTAATTACAGATATAGTTTATG